TGTTGTGATTGTTTTAGTTGTAAATCAGTGTGTATTTGTGATATTTATACGGTATTCATTGAGAAGTATACAGTTTGAGCAGATTAGGTATAGTTTGTGGAAGTAACAATTATTATTTTGTCATATTTTGTAGACTGCTAGCGCAGCAAAGAATAGGAAGGCCTATAGAATAGTCCAGGAAGTTCCCTCTGACTCCAGTGATGATGAGATTAGTGACAACAGTGATGATGAGTGGCTGCCAGAGAACAATAGAGACATTGGAGACAGTCAGGATGCAGAAAGTCAGGATGCAGAAAGTCAGGATAATGGCAGTGAAGATGATGAGGGGCAGGATGATGAGGGAACTGTGGAAGATGTGCACATGGTACCTGGACACACTCAAGCTCGCAAAAATGTCTGGAAATTCCAAGACAACAACTTTAATGGAGAGTTGCCTCCTTTTCTAGGAGACTGGAAAGTGAATGTGGAGGGAAGAGATCCCATAGATTTCTTTAGGCATCTGTTTCCCATACATCTCATTGATAGTATAGTGCACAACACCAACCTGTATGCTCTCCAGAAAGGGAAGGAAAATCTGGCAGTGACAAGGGAAGAAATGCAGATATTTTTAGGGATCAATATGGTCATGGGGTTCATTCGGTATCCTAGGGCACGAATGTACTGGTCTAGTGAGGATGGTCTTCGCCTTGGAATAATTGCAAATGCCATGTCTGTAAATAGATATGAGCAAATCCTAAGTTACCTGCACTTTGTGGATAACTATACTGACCAGCCAGCCAACACTGATAGGCTCTTCAAAATAAAACCAGTGCTAAGTGCACTTCAGGAAACATTCAAGGCAGCAGCAGACCCTGAAGAATTTCAGTCAGTTGATGAGCAGATCATTCCCTTCAAAGGCCTACTATCCATCAAGCAATACATACCAAAAAAAACCAAACCCTGGGGATTGAAAGTGTGGGTGAGGGCAGGGAGCTCAGGCTATATGTATAGATTTGAAGTGTACCAGGGCTCTGCAAGTAGTGGTCACATCAGTGGGTTAGGAATGGCTGGAGATGTAGTGATGCGCCTTTGTGATGACATAAAACACAAAAACCAGAAGGTGTTTTTTGACAATTTCTTCTGCAGCATTCCACTCATTGAGGCTTTGAAAGACCAGGACATTTATGGCACAGGGACATGCAGAGCAAACAGGCTGAAGGGAGCAAATGAGAAACTCAAGAGCGAAAAACAAATGAAAAAAGAGGGCAGAGGGGCTTGCTCTGTGGTCAGCAATAATGCAAACATCACTGTAACACGATGGCTCGACAGTTCAGTCATCCACATGGTCTCGTCCTGTGCTGGCCAGTCCCGTGAAGATATTGCCAACAGATGGGTCAAGAAGGAAAAAATTAAGGTCAGAGTCCAAAGACCCTTTGCTGTGTCCCTTTACAGTCAACACATGGGTGGGGTTGATCTTGTTGACCAATTTGTGGCAATGTATCCCCACAGACATAGGAACAAGCGATGGTACATCCGAGTGTTTTTTCATTTTTTGGATGTGACCATTGTCAATGCCTGGCGCCTGTACTTAATGTCAGGATTGGAAAGGATGACACTCCTCCAATTCAAAGCTTCTGTGGCCCGTGCACTTATAAATGCTGGCTCCCTCCAGCAAAGCAGAAGAGGAAGACCCAGTGGCACCCCACCTCCGGTGAAGCACAGAGCAGTCACCAAAGTATCCCGTGAGGTCAGGTTTGGCACAGGAAATCACTGGCCCCAACTCACCCAGGTGAAAAATGCAAACAGATGCCACGATGCTACATGCACACGGAAGACCAAATACATCTGCATGCAATGCTCTGTGCCAGTGTGCCCTGGATGCGTTGCTAACTTTCATACAGTCTAGGTGTGATGAACTGAGCATATTACTGAGATTTATTTCAACACAAGTGTTCGGAGATGGTTAGGTGTAAGCTTAACAGTTGTGTGTTGTTTGTTTTCTTGTTCAGGTCTAAACAATAGGCCTATGCAATGTTAAAATATGTGAAAATATGTTAATGTATTTTTTAAAAAGCATAAAAAGAAATACTTATTCATGGATTTACCATAAAAAACAAATAAGTTCATTTTTACATTACGATCATACTTTTTATGTTGAGTTATCTAGCGCATGTTGTCCACTGGATTGGACATGTCTGTAACTTTCTGAAAAATTAATATTTTTGAAAAATAATTTTGAATTTGATTTTTTCATGCCCTAAGAAGAATAAAAACACTTAAGAAAAAAATCTTGACTCAGCCTTTCATAATTCATGCATCAGAGGGTTAAAAAGTTTTCCCAGGTTAGGTTAGCTTAGCTTAGGTCAGGTTAGCTTATCTTAGCTAGCTTGTTAGTATTAACAGTGAAGATGATAACATTTATTAGATATAACTTAGAAATCCTCTCAGAAATCCTGTCAGCTCAGTGCCAGTTAGCAATTTTGCTAACGAAAGCTGGAATGATTCTAACACTCATTAATATAATTTAAAAATCCTGTCATGTTAGCTGATCTTAGTTAGCTTAGTTAACATTAGCAGTGAAGAGTATGAATATGATTTAAAAATCCTCTCAGAATATTCTGCTTAGCACCTCTAGCACCACTTAGCTACCTGGCTATAGCAGCTTAGCACCACTTAGCTACCTGGCTAACAACAGCAGGAAAGATATTATGAATGTAACTTAAACATTCTCCTTGAAATCCTACCATGTTAGCTAATCTTAGATAGCTAGTTAGCATTAACATTGCAGATTATAACATTTATTAAATATGACATATGAATCCTCGCCGAAATCTTGTCAGCTTGGTGCCGGTTAGCTATTTTGCTAACAAAAGCAGGAAAGTAATATTTATGAACTTAAAAATTCTCCATGAAATCCTGTCAGATTTGCTAACTGTAGTTAGCTGGCTAGCATTAACAGTGAAGATGATAACATTTATTAGATGACTTAGAAATCCTCTCAGAAATCCTGTCAAGTTAGCTAATCTTAGCTAGCTGGTTAGCATTAACAGTAAAGATCTAAACGTATTAAATACGACTTAAAAATCCTCTCAGGTTAGTTCATTTTAATTAGCTGGCTAGCGCTAGCAGTAAACATTATATGATTATGCCTTAAAAATCCTTTCATAAATCCTGTCAGGTTAATTTGTGTTATTTAGCTGGCTAACAAAATCTGTATAGCTGTATCTACATAAATGTATTGCTTTCGGAATATTTCCATATATGGACTCAACAAAACATCGGTCTTAAAGGCACGCCCACTCTCTAATTTCCATATAAAGCCTTAACACATTTCCTTATACAGTAAATATATATTGGTTAGCAGTCTTAGCGTTTTTGTTATGACTTCATTCCTAGAAAATCTGATTTAAAAAAAAATCACAGTCGCTCATTAAAATCGCTACAGTTTTTTATAGAGTATTATGTTGAACAGGAAATCGGGATCTTTCCCAAACTCCTTCCTCTGCAGAGAGCCTTACCATCTGCATGAGAAATGTGTTCAGGGCCCAACGCTCGTAATTGGAAGCGTCTTGGCAGGCTGTCAGATTTTTTTTTTTTTTTGTTGAATCAAATTAGTCGACTCATGTGAGTTAAGGTCGGCTAGACCAAGTTGGAGTCTTGTCACCGGTAAATTGGCTCACTCCGGAAGTTCCTCACCTCATATATTTCAGAGAGCAATTAAACGCACCCTTTCCTGTGTGGCCGTAGTCCGTTAATTCTCTAAATATAAACACAGTGTTTACCTCCACAGAGAATATTTACTTGTTTATGGCTGTCAGAATGCGGTCAAATGCCACGATGATGCAGTTAGAGAAATGAGCTGGGTGTGGAAACGTTCAATCCAGCCCGGCTTGGTGACTTTTTGTATAATTACGATGACTTTAAGAAAAATGTGTTTAATGAAACTGTCAAAGCATTAGCAGGTGTGTGCTTTTCGAAAAAAAAAAAATCTAGAACCTGAAATGAAAGCCTTAAAATGTCTATGGGGAACCCTTTTCCATATCAGAGAGAGTTCGGAGTAGAACCGTTTTAGGAAACAAACAACCTTTAACTATATATAACGTATTAGTTTGATATCATTTGTTTTATTTCCAATGTAAAGTCAAAATGTCCCTGTAAGATCTTTATTTGTTCCACAGACTGTCAAACCATTAAACGTGCCTCCAAAAGAATTGTTTCAAAAGTTCTTGAATCTTGCATGGTTTCTAAAAGAACCCAATGCTATTAGTGGAGTCTTTATTTCCTTTTAGAGAACCATGATTTAAGGAGCGGGGTGATACACGGATCTTTGGATAGTTGAGGGATCTTAGCTCCCCAGAAGGGTTCTACTTGGAAAGGGTTCTAATAAGGAAACAGGGTTATGGTTGTATCTGTTGTATGGTGCATGATAGAACCTTTATGGTTTCCCCCAGACCAACAAACGCTAAACAAAAGCGTTCTAGTTTCAGGCTCTTTTCTAGGAGTGGGTGTTGAGCACACTGAACATGGAATCAAATAAATAAATAGTAAATAACCCAAAATATTTGGAGAACCCAGCCGTATGGTTAGTTATAAATTCTCATGTGTAACTGAACATATGGTTCTGTTTTTTTCAGCTCGAACTCAGTGTGTTTAGTGATGAAGCTCAGGATCATGTGTGAAAAATCTGGAACCCTTTAAGGTTCTTCTTGTTCCATTAAAGGTTCAGTGTAGGACCCTATACCAGAGTGTTTCTTCAGCAGAAGGGGTTTCAATTAGAAGAAGCTAAGAAGCCTTGAACCTTTCAAATGCCTTCATTGATCCGTTTGGAGTGAGCACTTTATTCCAGGCAAGGCTGCAGTGGATCCATTTACATTTTTACAGTTTATGGCATTTGGCAGATGCCCTTATCCAGAGCAACTTACATTTATCTCTCTCTTTTTTTTTTTTTTTTTTTTTTTTTTTTTTATACAACTGAGTAGTTAAGGGTTAAGGGCCTTGCTGAAGGGTCAGCAGTGGCAGCTTGGCAGTGATGGGACTTGAACTCATGACCTTCTGAACAGTAGTCCAACATCTTAACCACTGAGATACTCCTGCCCTTCTGGAGCTTATCCCAGGAACACTGGACATGAGGACACCCTCGATGGAATGCCATTTCATAACAGGGCACCATGCCCACACACTTTCGGGGGCAATTTAGAGTATCCAATCCACCTACCAGCATGTTTTTAGTAGGTGGGATGAAACCGGAGAACCCAGAGAACATATATATTAAGAAAAATATGTATATTCCTGTAGGGATCCTAGTGATTACTTGTACTGCTAACAGCTAGAAACAGGAATACATCCTGAACGGGACGCCAGTCCATCACAGTACCAAATCTCTTCTGTTTACAAACTAGACAGCAATGAAGTCAAAAAATCAACATTATTATGTAGCTAATCATTGTACACTAATAAACAATTCAGATATTTTTTCAAATGTAAACATGTCCAATCTATAATCATTGTGGCCACCCCGGTAGTGTGAGCTTGCCCTGCCTTTGCCACCCCATGTCTGAGACCCCTGACATGCCACTGCTTGGGCTGAGACCTACTTACAAAATCATTAATGAAAGTAAATAAACAACTCGTCTAACGATGAATTTTATATGAAAAATCAACATGTGGTGAAATCAGACCTCTTGTGTGGAATCAACTCCTGTTTTGGGTTTGACCGCTGGATGAGTTCCAGCGCCGTGCGACTCATTTGACATTTTTATTGAACGAAAACCTCCATTCACAACTCTGACGTTCCTCAACGAAGCTGTGACGAAATCTTACTCTCATAAAAGCGTGAGTGTAACGCACTGTGCGTGTGAAAAGTGCGGGACTGCCTGGTTACTGAAGGCGGACTCTGCGCTCTCTGCGTCACGGCGCGCACCGCACACTTCATTTATTTCACTTCCCAGTCGGTGCCTTTTGTTTGTCTGGTGCTCCTGCGTAAAGGTAAGAGACACTTTCCACTCAATTTCAGGACGCAGACACGCTGCTAAAAATATTTTAACCATTTAAACTCCAACGTAGAGTGGATGATGGAAGATATTCACTTTTATAGAGCAGATAATATAATCTTACGCATTTTGCATGTTGGATAGTAAACCTTACAGGTGTAATGTAAAATGTAAACGAGAATAAAGGATTGAAACAAAAAGCAATTCATCAAGCTTGAAATCTGGAATTGCATTTCACTAAACAATTAGTTTAATTAACGATGCACCAGTGCATTGTGTTGTTCTTAATGTAAAATGTCTAAAATGTTTAAAATGCACAGGAATAAAAAAATAAAGGTGGATTTTTTTTGACTCAGCTGCTTTTGGGTTGAAATCCCTTTGCTCAGTTGTGAACTGTTGATCAGCTGTGTGTTTGCTCGCTCCCCTCTCCCCTTTCCTTTCCTCTCCTCTCTCCTCTTCTCTCGGCGCATCAGGTCTCCTCCATGCCATTGAGGTGTTCAGAAGCGCAGTGAAGATGGCCATCCATGTGGAAGGGCTGGTGGCGATCGTCATCTTCTACTTACTGATCCTCGGCGTGGGAATATGGGCCGCCTGGAAGAACAAGAACTCCGGCGTGGAGGAGGGAGCGGACCGCAGTGAGACCATCATGGTCGGGGGGAGAGACATCGGACTGTTTGTGGGAGCGTTTACCATGACCGGTACGACTCAGTGTGAACATAAAGCATGTGCTTAATCCCTGTAAGGAAAAGAAGTCTTTATTATTCCGAACTTTTTTTTGGTAAATCACAGATATTTAATGACTTTTTCCCTCGCTGTGGAAAACTGTGCGTTTTTACGCGTCGGTAAAACTGATGAATGGAACAGCGACGAGGTTCTTTTTTAGAGAAAGTGTTAATAAATGTAAAAACAAAAAGAAGATACTTTGAGGATCTTTGGAGATGCAAGTTTAATTTTGCTAAATAAAAAAATGTAAAAACATTGTGCTATTAGCTGCTGTTCATTCATGTGGACATACACACTGAGAGACATAAAGGCAGGCTACTTTCCCTGCTGCAGGGCTGCACCATCAAGGGTACATCTTTTATACATCTTTATCCCCTTCACATGGGAAGATTCATGTGGTGTACTTTTAATTACATATTAAAGATTTAAAGCTACACCAGTGGTCCTTATGAATAGTCCAGTTATGAATACTATATGGTTATAGTATGGTTAAAGAATAAAGATGGTTCCACGCCAAAGAAAAGTACACTTTAGAACCTTTATTTCTGAGAGTGTAGGCTATAGATACACTTTCAGTTATTTAACATCTCTGTGTTTCTGCAATTTATCTGTTTGGTTGTAGTGTCAAGTTAAATAGAAGTGTTCAAACCCTGTGTGCATATGAGTGTGTGTGTGTGTGTGTGTTGAATACTTGCTGTATGATATTTGCAGCTACATGGGTGGGAGGTGGATACATTAACGGCACGGCTGAGTATGTGTATCTGCCTGGTTTCGGCTTGGCCTGGGCGCAGGCTCCCTTTGGATACGCCATGAGTCTCGTACTGGGTAGGATAATTCCTAATAACTTTATTATTATTATTATTATTATTATTATTATTATTATTATTATTATTATTGTTATTTCCATGCGCACTCTCCATAAGTACTCTCATGGCTAATCATCAGCATCATCATCATCATCATGGTCTATATTCTGTATTCTCCTGACATTAAGGTGGCCTGTTCTTCGCCAAGCCCATGCGCTCCCGCGGCTACGTCACCATGTTGGACCCTTTCCAGCAGCTGTACGGAAAGCGCATGGGCGGCCTGCTCTTCATCCCCGCGCTCATGGGGGAGATCTTCTGGTCGGCCGCCATCTTATCAGCCCTCGGTAAGGAACACAGGGAGATCAATCAATGCGGGAGCCTGAATTAGAAGAAACCAATATCAGTTGCACAGAGAGGAAAGTTTCAGAGAAACGACTGGTTTGAGCAGTGACACACAGTCAGTTAGGGGTGACGTTTAAAAGATAAACAACAGATAAGCAACATCAGCCTCCTTTTCTTTCTCTTTAATATTATCACTTAAGATGTATTTTAATACCATTTATTGTATATATTTTCACACCACTTTGGTTGCATTGGTGAAGGAAAAAAAGGCAAAGAAGAGTTAATTGATTTTGGAGGAATAACTTTGTGCCTATTTAATTGCATCATAATGCAGGAGTACCCCCTGTCCTGCACATCTTACAGATACTTTCATCTAAAGCCAAGTGCAGTTGAGAAAGGACATAAAGGCTTGCTCAAAGACCCAACAGTCACAGTTTGGCGGTGCTGGGATTTGATCTCACAACCTACTAGCAGCCCAAATAATAGCCCAAAAATCTTAACCACTCAGCGACCACTTCACCATATTTTAATGATTTTCCTGTGCTAACACACCTGATCCAATTAACCAGCTAATTACCAACCCTTCCTAAGTTGAATCAGGTCTGTTAGTGCAGGAAAACCCTAAAATGTACAGGACAGGGTGAACTCCAGGCTCCAGGAACCTGTATACCAGGGTACCACTATGGGTCTTCCATCATTCCTCCTAGATTTTATTTTTTAATTTAAGCGTGTGTACCATATTTAATACCTGTAATTAAGCCTTTTGTTGTTTTCTTTTAAAACTACTTATGCTTCAAAAATATTCTTTTCTTACTTATAGACAAAATTTTACAATTTGACCTGTATAAATTGAGAGCGTTTCAGCTTCATGTCTCTCTGTTGTCAGGGGTACAGGTGGGTGAGGATGATTAAAGGACCCTGAGTAAACAGGGGGCTCAAGAGGACCTTAGAACATAGACAATGTCCAGAACAATGAAATTCGTCCAGAGTTGAGGACAGTTACTCATTTCATTGAACAAAATTTACACTAGTACCCTTTCTTGTTGTATGAATCTCTTTCTTATATTGCAAATCACAGATAAATTTAGCTTAATTTAATTTTTTGGCCTGATTTTTTTGTCTCCAAAATACTAATTAGAAGGAAATAAATGGTGCATAGTCAATAAGAGTGAACTGTAAACTGGAATAAATGAAATAAAGGTTAATGAAACCAAAAGAGACAGGAACAGTCCTAGAACATTTATGGAAAAGCCAGGCCTGGCACATTTCACTAAAATTATTACTAAGGTGTCAACACTGAAGAGCCTGTCTACTTCTTAATCACACACCATTATTTTTTTCCAACAGGAGCAACACTGAGTGTCATTGTGGACATTGATATTAACATGTCAGTCATCATTTCTGCCTTCATCGCCATTTTCTACACACTGGTTGGTGGTGTTTACTCAGTGGCCTACACAGACGTGGTTCAGCTCTTCTGCATCTTTGCGGGACTGGTACACTCATGTTATTTAATCATATGCACTGTGCAGTTGTGGAAATTGGCTGATCTAACATCAGACTACAAAGTTGAAATGAAAATAAATTAGGCTATGATTTGGGAATCTGGTCCACATGCAGTCTACATAAAGTCAGCTCTGGATGTTTTAAACAATTTAATCATAGCCATTACCTGATTTATGCAGGTTTCTCTTTTGGCTCATTTTATTTATATATTCACTAATCTTCTCCATGTTGATGAATGACTATGAGAATTTGGCCTCTGTGTCACATCATATTCATACTCCAGTGAAACAGGAAATCATGAGTTCCTAAACACTCAGGTGAACCTAATATATATATATATATATATATACACACACACTTTTTTATTTATATATATACATATAAGGGTTTTTTATTTTCTTATGCCCCTGACACTAGGTCTATCTGTCTGTGCATCCATCTGACATTCTTGTTAATGCAATATCTGAATGTCTGTAGGATTTATATGGAATTATCTTTGTAACCAGCAGAGGAACTGATTAGATTTTGTAATTGATCCAACCCAGGGCAAGGTCACAGCAAGGTCAAATGTCTGAAATATTTCTTTCCAGTAGCTTCTTTCCTGATTGAAGTACATTTTAAGGATATTGGAGGCATACAAATTAGCAACAAGAAGGACAAGACTCTGGCATCGAGTTCTACTTGCCTTAGAGTAAATTTACTTCAGTTAAAGGTTTGAGTTCTCTTAT